AAAGTGTTGCGAAAGATAGTTGACGCACCATTTTATGTCGCGAATGATATACTACATAAAGACTTAAACGTACTAACAATTTTAGACACTGCAAAAGAAAACTACAATAACTTTCATCAAAGACTAACGTACTACATGAATCCTCTCACAGAAATCCTTCAACGTACATGTTTTTTTTTCCCCCGTCCTCTCCTTTTTCGCCGTTTAGGCTATACGTGGTTTTCCCATGCCAAGGGGTGAGGGAGCGGAGATTAATGCCAGAGTTAAAAGACTCCCTTACCACCGAGACGCGAACTCGTTACTATTTTATATCAATAATATCATATATTAGGTTGCCGGGCAACGGCAGTGCTGTCCGCCTCCCAAAAAAATGACCATGTAAATGTAAAAAGAAACATCCGAAGGTCGGATCAGAGGTGCTTGCTTGATCAGAGGTAGATTAGAGACTCCTGATCTAGGTGAACACATAGTTTTCCCGAGTAAAGGTTTACAATTTTAAGTAATGTGAATAGTCTATTGATATTAGCTACAGTAGTAATAAGTATCATGTAGACAATTCAGAGCTGTCTCATGGATAGCAGGCTCCCGTGGGGAAGATTTTACCAAGCGCCCACTCCTCATACCTCCATGTATCTTCGAAGTAAGTGTTTTGTCTGAGTAGAGTCCAAGGTATCAGAAAAAAATATAATTTAATACTAACATTTTAACCTTCACTAATTTAATTAAAACTGCATTTCAATTCATATCACAAAATTCAAACACTGCTAATTTTTTTTTTCTAAAAAACACAGTGATCCATTATGTCTGGGAAAAAAATGACAGATTTTTTTTCATTATGATTCTAACCTTATCAGTAATTATCTACGATTCTAAATAAATGATGAAAAAGTTAAACGTTCCATTCTGACACTTCCTTAATCCTTGGTATATTGATGATTCATCAATTTATTCTGTAACGAAAGTATTATTATTATTACTATTATATAATATAAATGTAACACAATCAATAATTTAGGAACATTCATTGATCATTTTGAGACCACTTACCAATTCAATATTACTATACGCACGCTGCAAAAGCATGAAAGAAACATTTCCTAAACTAAGTGCTGAGCTCATCGATGGTATCATAAATCTATCCGACTGTTCCTAAAGTCATCAATAGAAACCACAGAAGAAATTCGCTGCGTTCTTTTATTCATTGATTGAAGCACCGAAGGCTCAGCAACTTTGAGGATGATTGGATCTGCTTGATGTAACCTCATTCATTATAACTTGAATGTTATTATTTCTCAATTTACTTTGCATGATTAAATTCAGCCTCAATCGATTGTTGATTCCGTCGATGGAATAAGCGCTGAGTTTAAGAAGATGCCCTTTTCTAGCTTCTCATTTATTGTAATATAAATAGTATATTGTACTAGCGCCCTCAGTGTAAATATAAAATGTATTAATCCGAGAGACCGTGAGAAAATTGTTTTTTTAGTATTTTTAACATTTATATTAAAAAAACGAGTCTGCCAGTATCTTGCTACCTGTAAAAATGGCGGCTGATTTAAAGAATATTAGACCAGTAACTTGGGCATCGAAACGAAAAATTCATTTCGAAAACTGTGGGAAAAGTTTTTATTTTTTTCAACTTATATATATGGGTTCAGATATTCAAAAAAACCAAATCTCCATTGTGAACCACCAAGGAAAAACATTTTACGGCCAAAATAGCCAGATTTTTTAATTTCTCACCTATAATTCCTAAACAATACATCGAAGCGAAAAATGTACTCATTAAGAAATTAAAGAACGTTAAATTTTGCGTAGAATTAATACTTTAGTAAAATGGTATTTGATGCTCTACAAATTTTATTCTACGATTTTTCTATATTAGAGAGCTCATTTTCAAACTGCAGCGCCATTTATAGTAATTTATATTAGTTCCTGACGAATTTAGTAAAAATCAGCGTTGGTTAACAGTGGTTATCGACCATACCACATAACCAAATTATTAAGTTTAGGCACTCATTCAACGTACAATTTAACGTTCTTTAATTCTTTAAAGAGTTCGTTTTTCACTTCGATTCACCATTTAGTAGTTATAGGTGAAAAGTTAAAAAAAAAATTTAAAAACGGCCTTTTTGACTTTTTCCACATTTTTTGTAATGAATTTAACGTTTCCATCCTCAAGTCTAATATTCTTTTAATCAGCCACCATTTTTACAGGTAGCAAGATTTGACTGACAGACGTGTTTTTAATACAATTGTTATAAATATTTTTAAAAAATGCTTTTAATGTTTTCATCAAATAATGTCGATTTCTTCTCACGGGCTCTCGGACTAAATACAGATTTTGGGAAAAAAGGAAAAAAAAATCAATTTAAATTTTTTCTCACGGGCTCTCGGACTAAATACAGATTTTGAGAGACCAGGAAAAAAAATCAATTCAAATATACTTATTAATAGTATCAGCACGGGTGAATATCTACAAATAAATTTTCATTCATTAGGTTGAAGAATAACCGATTCATTAAAATATTTCCCATTGACAAAATTTCTCCCAACTCTAAGGTCATCCCCAGAGCCCTCACAAAATAAATATTTTCAGAAACCGGCCTTGACTTGGTGCATGATTATAAATAAAAACCAAATAGTTACTTCAAGCTTATCTTAAGCATACAATAAAAACTTAAGAGAAAATTTAGTTTATATTGAAAACAGCCATTTTTGTTGTTCTGAATATTTTCAGGAATTTGTTGCAGATGCATCAAAATTTTGCATTTGCGTAGCATCCACACGGAATTTTAAAACAGTATTATTTTTTTATCAGAAAAAATATTTAAACATTTCAACTCTTAAGTATATTCCTAAGGTCAGAACAAAATAAAAAGTCTTACTGGTTATTTTTGTTAATCTAATCGAAATATTATCTTTTTAGCCCATCTTTTTATTTTATTCTTAATGTTTTTTTCCTAATGCGTAAGGTCGTTAAACTCAATAAACTACAAAACATTCGCTATAATTTTATTCCAACAATAGTAATGGTTCACCCAACAGAATCTGTGATGGTAGAGGAAGAGCAGAAACAGGTGATTAAAAATGGTGGAAGGGGAATAATAGTTCTTACGTAAATCAGTATTTACGCAATTCAAGGTATACGACATTATTCTTTGTTGGTCACCATAAACCACTAGTGGATCCAGGATTTAATTTTGGAGGAGGGAGGCTTCAGCCCGAAAGATTTTTTTTTTTATATACATATAATGATAATTAATTAGAAAAAAAAGAAAGAAATTAACTACCTATATGAAATGGTGTTTAGGTGGTTCTTGAAATCCTATTAAATGTAATTATACGAACAAGAATATTTTATGAGATAGGTTTTAGTTTTTTTTTCTGTAGAACATGGTTATATTTTACCATTTTGGGGGAGGAGCTTCAGCCCGAAAGCCCTCCCCCCCGAAAGTAGATCCGCCTGTGCCATAAACTATTTTTTATCATTATTTAATTTGTATTAAACACTAACGAGAAATAAAATAAAATCATAGTCCTACATTAACTAGGCTAATTTTTTTATGCTATGATTTTTCAAGTACATATTTAATTCAGATATATATAGATTCAAAAATCTTTTTTTCGTCCGATAGCACAATTTTCCAAAAATTATAGAAATTGCTACTCTTAAACTATTTTGTAAAGAATGGCGTCTGCTTAATTTAAACCTCAATAAAGCTTTTTATGGAGCTTTTCAAAATTAGGCAAATTTTCCAAACTTGTAAATTTAAAGCTACAATAATATTAAAAAGGTTTTATTATATGTATTAGTCTTTATATCTTCAATAACCTGTCTCATACGAGTCAGTGAAATAAACATTTATTCGATTTAACGTTTTAAATACTAAAATCCGCACATTGAAAAATCAATTTGTATTTTTTATTTGTAATTTGTATTTTGTTCAGTTAACACATGTTAGCTTCCCCTATACCTGCTACCCTTAGCATTTGCTTTCCAGTTCTAACTGAAACTCCTAGATGAACACACCTGTAAGTCTCTAATTTTATTCTTACAATTTTACTTACTTATTTATCTAATTTTGGTTTCCTTTTTCTTTTCTTTCTCCACATTCCTTTATGTCTATTATTTCATATTATATCCTTTTTCCTTTTCTTTCAATCTCTCCTGTAGATTTTGTAGAAGTATATTCACATTTTCATTTATTATATATTACACTACAACAATTGTTAGCATCTATTTACTTCAGTTTAGGATCTTGTTACTCAGCTTACTTTGTTCATATTTTATCGTACTTACTGTTTATAATTTTAATAAGCTTATTCACATAGTTTATAAATTATGTCAAAATATTATGTAATTGCATTCCCTCAATTGTCTATCTTTTTGTATCTTGTCCGTTCTAGCCCTGATGAAGACCTGCAAAGTCGGGTCGAAACGTCGGCTTTCAATAAAATAGTTTTACCACTATTTAGCCTATTTATGACCGCAACCCCGGACCATCTTCTTCCTTTATAATGCAACGGTCAACTATTAAATATTCAATTTGTATTTTTTAATTAAAGTGCTGAATTACTGATTACCTATTTATGAAACAGTAAAACATCGCCTGCTGTGATTTCATTATAAATATATGATATTTATAACTAATCAATTATGTAATTATTTCTATTACTTATAATTATTATTACAAACTAATAAGAATTAATACATTTAAAATAATATTTTCTCATTTGATTTCTCTCATGAATGCTTATATTTTGTATTCAAAATATTACAATAAACCACCATTTTGTAGAAGGTGGTGTATTAATGTGTAAACAGCTGTTAACATTTTATATTATAGACATAACCTAACCTTGTTACTCAACTACCAGATAAAATGTCGTGTATTAATTAAACAAAATTGAAACTCCATCGTATGTATTGCTACCCTTCCGATACAAATAAAAACAATTAAATTTAATGCTAACATTTTTCTTTTAATTTATTTCAGACTAGGATGCTAGATTGGGAAGATTTGGCCGCGACGGTGAGCAGTTCAGCGAAATAGACAAGCATTAACAGTTGGTAATGGAATGGCAGTTACTGCCGTGGGCAGTACTAGCGAAATAGTACCCCTGATGTAAATGTTTGCTAAATAAATTTTGTATTTCAATTTCAGTCTTCTGGTTTTGAAAAGTGAACTGCTCCTCCCCCCAAACCTTCCCGCACCTTCAATATTCCCCCTTCATAATGTTGAATAAATGTTTATTTCATTGACTTGTTTCATACAGATTATTGAAGATATTAAGGCAATTGCATATGACCAAGCATGAAAATTACTATAGCTTAAAATTTTCAAGTTTGGAAAATGTGCCAAATTTTGAAAAACCTTTTTTTTTTGTATTTATTTATATGATATTTACAACTGTATACAAAAAAATACATTTGGTAAATTAGCACATGGATATAATGACATGCAACACATGTTGAGAAACTACCCATTGGTAGCACTCTAATAATATGTCTATATTAGAAGATCACGTGGCCATCTTCTTTTCAGACGCCTCGGAGGATTATCAGGAATTTAATAGGAAGCAAGGTTAAAAACAAGAGAGTTGGGATGGTTATGAAGTTTATTATGGAAGGACAGATATCTGGATTGGGCCAAATCTGATACATAGGGAACATTAAGGATGATTTTATATGTAACAAAGTAAGGAGCATTGAGGATTTTACGAAGTATTTTGGATTGTAAGGATTGGATACGAGAGGAATTTGAAGGTTTGGTGGAGCCACATAGCTCAACTCCAAATAGGCCTTATGAAAAACCTGAAATTCAAAACCTATTAGGTTTACCGAGGCTATTCTGATCTCGAATTTTAATAAATGTAATCTAGTTTAACAATGTATAGAGTATTTTTTGTCGAAAACGTACTCTTTCGTGAAAAGTAGACATTTTTGTTAAGTATTAGACAGGGAGAGATCTCCCTCTTTAAATGGACGCCATTTTCAACTCCTCTTTTTGGGTTGGCAGACTTGTGGAAATTGAATGTTGAAGATCGATATTATAACGGAGTATGGCCAAAGGATATTTTTTTTTCGAATAAGTTTTTTTTTTTTTTTTTCTTATGCCAGTCGTAGGTCATTTGGCCATCCGACATCTTGCTGCCCAGTATAATTTAGACTTTCTGATATGTATATTTGAAAACATTTTGTCTCTTATGTCCCTCAAGGCAGGACATGCGTCTAGATGGTCTGCATCCATCGCTCCTTGATGACACAATTTACAACTGGGATCCTCAGCGACGCCTATCTTGTAGAGATGACTCTGCAGATAGTCGTGACCAGTAGCCAGGCGGAAGCAGGCAACTGCATCTCTTCTCGGCAGCTCAGCTGGAATCGGATTATCCTTCAACCACTCGTAACGCTTCCCTTCCACTTTGCCGAAATGTACTTTTCTTATTTCCTCCTTCACTACCATCTTCACCATTCGCCGTATTGAGTCGTAAGGTTTTGGTGTATTAGCTGATCCTCGCTTGGCAAGAATATCAGCCTCAACGTTACCCGGAATCCCACAATGGCTGGGGATCCACTGTAGGACCACATTGGTGCCTCGGTAAGTCAGGTTAGAGAGAAGGGATTTACATTCCAATATAGCACTCGATAAACATTCATTCGTGCTTGTGACTGTCATTCGTGCGAATAAGTTATAAACTTTGTTACCAACTCTTGGATTTACTGAATTTCACTGTTTTTCATCCGTTACCCCGTTTATTTTTAAACGAAACTAGTGTTTTTCCTCGTGTAACTTTTTATAAAATTCTTGCTAGCCTTCAGATAGTAGATATAAAATAATAAAGTAGAATTTCTTCCATTTTATTTAAGTTTTTTTTTTGTTGTTGTTAATAACCGCACTAATACATCAATGGAGTCCTTAACAAACAAATTTCATTATATAAGTACTATTACAACTTATGATTCTAGACGATCGATCAATTTAGGAAATGTTTAGTGAACCCGATATCTCTTTATTGAGTAAATAAAATAATCTTATTTTAAATTATATAAACAGAAGAGTTGCAGTTTATTGACTTAAGAAAAGTAAAATATCATCCTTAGTGAATATTTTTGGCATTATTTTATTGTATGAAGTGTTTATTTATTTATTTTTTGATATGCTGATATGGATAGTGTATTTTACCTACTTATATCTGGAAGGCTAGGCAGGTGCCCAGATGATCTCCAACATGATAAAGTGGGCACATACGGTGGTGTGAACAAGTTTTCGAGCAAACCAAATTTTTATAAAAATAGTAAATTTTTAAATTTAAAAGTGGTTTTATTTTCTTAATTATAAACAGAATAAGCCAAGGGACTAATCTATTGTGTTTTGATGTATTATTTTCCATAATGAACCATTGTAATCGATCAAAAATTCAAAAAATTAATTCCTTTCAAAATCAGAGGTTAAGATACGTAGAATTCGAAAATCGAATAAAAATACTTTTGTCCGTCCGCCATCCACCATACGCCCTTCGCGTACGCCGTCCACGCATTTTCTCCCAAACTACTGGACTGATTTTTTTTTCAAATTTGGATTTAAAGTCAGAGGTCACCCGAGGATGATCCTTCTACTTCGACATTACTATCCGTCTTTTCCTTTCAAGATGGCAGCCGAAAAACCTGTGTTGCTATAGACTGTAGCTCCTAAACGAATGTACCAATTTCAATGAAACTTGGCTGATGTCTTCTTCTGGATATTCTTTAAATTTATCTATATGATATACTTCAACGAAAAGAAGCTGGAAAAAAGTTACATGTGGTGGTAAAATTAGATTCCGAATAACTCAAAAAGTATACACTTTTTTTGTAGATTGGTTACTACAAATTTTACGAAATTAAAAAAAAAAATCATTAAAATCAGACAATTTGGAGAAAAGATATGGTCTCTAGATATTTTTGTATGTTTTACTGCAAAGATTATATCCATTGTCTTGGTTTTTGATTTTTAAATGTGTTACTAAAGTAATGCTTTTTTTAGAAAATGACTATTGATGAAAAAAAAATGTTTAGGCCACGAATTGGAACCACCTTTTGTTTCCGTTTCTTTATTATTAGGAAGATAATGTAACTTTAGATGAATAATTGTTTAGAAATAATAAACCATTGTGATATAATTTGCAGCTTTGTTTTTTGTTTTTTTTTTGTCCTCTGAATAATGCTACCTTAATTTTAAATTCCACATTTTTTCTTTTTCACTTTTTTCGATTTCCATAACCTCTTTGAATCCTTTGACCAAGGAATCTCTGATAGCTTACAATAGATATCTAAAAAGCACCGACAGGTTTTTTTTTATACATTTTTAATCCTTTTTTGATGGTTCGATCATCAACAAATTTTTTTTTATTTATTTAGAAATATAATAATCTGTCACGTGGACAATAATTATAGTAAGAGATCATCAAAATTATGTTCATTTGTCTGTAACGACCAAATGTATTGTTTTATTTTCACAGTGTGGCATGAATGAATAAATTAAGATAATTACAATAATAGTGATGAAATTATACTAGTTTAATTCTTGTCAATGTTTCCTTTTCACAAAATAACCAAAAATTTACGCTACATATTTTGAGTATTATTTCTGTTACACGCAGGGGTGTCAAGAAGGGTGTTTGATGACGTACAGGAGTGCCCTCGGGGGTTTTTTAATTTTTTTTATAAAAATTTTTGGGAGAGGGGGCACATTAAGTTTTAAATTTTAAGACAACATTTAAACCAGGAAATAAAGGCGAAAAAAAGGCACTCTGAGACGTGTATATAAAAAAATATCTAAGTGCGCCGCATACTTGGAAGAGCGGCAGATGTGGCTTTATCCTAAGTACTCAACTCAAGCAGAACATTATCTTCCGTATTTCCAGTTTCAGCATTAACTCAAAGGGCTCCACTAGTTTGAAATATCAGTATGCGGCACCTTCACTGTGTGTATATAATAAATACAACTAATGTCTTGTCTTTGGCTGTAGAACACGAAAAGAAATTTAAAATAAAGTAGCAACAAATAAAAGACTTATGAAATAAGTCATTCCTGATGACGTAAGTTGCTCTATCGAAGTTTTTTAAAGGAGGCATATTTTGACGAATATTTGAATTGTTAAGGGGGGCACATTTCGACAGGGTTATGAATTTTCAGAATGAAAAGTTGTAGACAAAGAGACAAGGTGAAAACGTTGAACAGGCCGCAGCAAGTGTAATTTTATTTGATCTGCGATTTTTTAAATTCTACCTTCACCTGCTCTGTTATTAAGAGAAAATGTGAGCAATAAAACATCTTGGGAGGGGAGGATAGATTTTACGCCATCGAACTTGGGGATGGAGCGTGGGCCAAAGTCCTTTTTCATAAAAATTTAATAATAGATCTAAACAGTAAGTGCTATACAAATGTAGAATGTAGAAAATCTTATACTGATTAAATTTAAGTTAAATTAAGTACAGAAAAATAATACAAAAACCGGTTTTCTCAGAAATGTCAAAGAACAGGTTGTGCCGTTGCTAAGGTTGGCTAGGCTTCAATGCAAGAATTCAAGTCCTTTTCTCCTACCCTTCATCCAGTAAAAAATACCTATTTAATTCTTACACTTGGGCATTAGCGGATCCAGGACTTAATTTTATGATTTAATTTGAGTTAAATTTACAAAATCACTTGCAAATCTTACACGACTGGTACAAACTTTGGAAAATAAAACTATATCACAACAAATCCCAACACATAACATTTTCACTCCGACGCGAAAACTGCCCTCCTGTCTATCTTGACAATGAACATATTCTCCAATCTGATAAAGTACATTACCTAGGCCTGACATTCGATAGAAGGATGACATGGGGCCCACACATCACCACTAAGCAAAAGACACTAAATCAACGGTTTAGACTATTATATTCCCTAGCGGGACGTCGCTCAAAACTAGATCTAAGACAAAAACTTAACACTTACACTTACCACTTTACTAAATTTACTAAAACCACTTTGGACATACGCATCACAAATATACGGAATTGCCAAAAAAACTCACATTCAGAAATTACAAATATTTCAGGCCAAAACCTTCAGAACAATTACTCAAGCACCTTGGTATGTTAGTAACATAACTCTCCACAAAGACTTACGCATGCAAACCGTCACAGAACACATACAAACTTATTACAAAAGGTTTCACAACAAGCTTTATGGTCACCCCAATAGACTCATCCAAGACATGACCAATAAAAACATGCCCGATAACATCCGCAGGAGGCTGAAAAGGAGTTGGATGAGAGATCTCCTTAATTAACCACAAACATGACCGAAGATAAACCACTGGGTTTTTCTCTTCATCATGCCCTTTCTCCTAGTCTATTTGTACATTTATTTCATTCACTGGTTGTCAGTGGACATTGACAGTCGTGAATTAAAAAATAAAGAGGAAAAAAAATCGAGTTAAAGGTGGCTTACTAATTTATCTTATACTCCGTTGTACAGACCCCTTTTTATCAAATTATTAACATACGCCTGAAACTTATTGACTAGCTTCATCGTAAGATAATTTGTATAAAAAATTTTACCGTTGGGCCTATATAAACTCGTTATCTTGAAATGTTGGGGGGATTAGGTTATGCCAAGAAGTCCAATATTTTTTTAGGCGACCTTTTTTTCTCGATTTTGTGATCAAATTAACTTACGATTCAAGTGGAAAGTAAATGAATATTTACAAGTTTTTAGTGTCTAATTAAATAGAAAAAGTTTTCCGAACTTCTAGACTGAAATCCCCTCAATTCCGAGAATTTTAGTAAATAAAATAGTTGTAATAGTGGTTAAACAGTTGACTGTCGTGAATAATGAGAAGAAGAATAGTTGGGGTGATCAGTCAAATAAGAAGACAAAATAAATATTATCATTTATTTTGTAATTTAATAAATGATAATATTTATTTTGTCTTCTTATTTGACTGATCACCCCAACTATTCTTCTTCTCATTAAAATAGTTGTAAGTTACGATGAGATGAAGCTATTTACTAATTACTTTAAAAGGGTTCTGTACCACGGACAATTAATTTAAACCAATTTAGTTTACTAGATAATTACTTAGAAATAAACTAACTACCTTTATGAAATGGCGTTTAGGTGATACTTGAAGTTCAAAAAGGTTTCTATACGAACAATAACGTTTTACAGATATTTTTTTCGTAAGACATTCATATATTTTGTAGCTGTATGTATAATAAAATTTAAAATTTATATGTTTAAGTAGTTAGAATAGATCACTCACTGTAACAATTATGGAATAATTAATACTTAAATTCGCAATATTTTTTATCCGACTAGAAGAAGAACTGTATCATAATTTGTTGTATAACACGAAGATATCCAAACTTTTTTGCCCATGGGCCGCATTGAGACTTCCACCCAACTCAAATAAATGATACCACAGCTCTGAAATGAGCTTTCTAAGAGAAATAATCGACAATATGGAAATAATGTTTCGTTTCAAATGCCTTGTAAATCATACTGTTCAAACAGCCTTGGGCTGTGCGTCAACAGAATCGGTCATTTCATAACTTTGTACAGTCCGATAATTATTATCGGAACGTGACGTCCCATCAGTGATGAAATGAATATCAGGTTTTGAATCCATCGTTGTGTTCCAAGTCCATTCGATAATATCCATTACAAAGGACAGTTTCCACACTTGGATTAGTCACCAAAGAAATATCTTGATAAGAAACAACATCTGTAACTCAATTAAAGTTAAATTTAATTTGTAAAGTGTAGAAATTAATTAAGATGCCAGTTATCCTTCCAGTCTAAAGTCCTTCGAACAATAGTCGATGCTCCTTTCTATGTATCCAACAAAACCCTACATCATGACCTTAACATCCCATTTGTCCTAGACCTTATCCCAGAAAAATTCTCCAAATTTCACCAGAACCTTACTTACCACCCAAATCCTCTTGCACAATCCCTATCAAGCATCTCCCATCCCTATAATCCTCCAAGAAGGTTGAAACGGCAGTGGCCTCGCGACCTTTTGTAGATTATATAAATTGGAGTTCTGGCAATGGCCTGATTCTTCACTCAAGACATGTGTGTATGTGGCTAAAGTGCTCTCGACCAATCTCCGCTGGCTTTAGTACCAGTGACGCGGTTGGGAGAGTAGCGCAGGGTTCTCCTGGAGTTCCCTCGCCTGATTGTATATAGGTATGCATGTGTTTTTTTTTTTTTTTTTTTCCTTAGTTTTAATTTTCTTATTTTTTAGGTTATTTTATTTTATTGTCTATTGTATATACTTTTGATTATTATTTTGTTCTATTTATTTTATTTTTTTGTACATATGGTGTGAATGTCATCCTACCTCACTATAACCAATGTCCAACAGACAGATTGTTATAATACTCAATAAAGAAATTAAAAAAAAAAAAAAAATAACTGCTTTTTTTTATTTTGTGAAATTTAGTAAAATAATTTACATAGGGGTGGTTCAAGATAAGAGGTGACCCTGAGCGATTAAAAGTATTGGGACTCCAAAAAAATGGTTTAAGAAAAATCTCATTAAGTAATCAAAAAAGAAAAGAAAATTAATAAACATAAATTTTACATATGATTTTTCCGTAACTTCCATTTAGTTTTTTTTATTTATTATTTTCAATAATATGCTTTTGTAATCGACCAAGAAAAAAAATAATTTTAACCCTCCTCAAAGTCCGTCCGCCGTCAGCGGCTTTTCTCCGAGACTAGCTGACCTATTGTTTTTAGATTTGGTGTCAATGCCAAAGTTCACCCCACCCGAGGATGATCTTCGAAACTCAACATTACCATCCGCCCTTTCCTTTCAAGATGGCGAAAAACTTGTGCCGCTGTAGACTGTAGCGCCTTAACGAATGTACAGATTTCGATGAAACTTGGCTAAATTCTCCTAATTTGAAGCCCTTTAAATTTATCTATATAACATAAATCACTGAAAAGAAGCTGGAAAAAAAGTTACGAGGGGTGGTAAAATTAGATCTTCCAATGCCTTTTTTGCTGCTGTTGTGTATGGTCAGGGATGCCCATCCCCCCAAGGCTGATGGCAAGGATTCGTCTTTTCTTCTTAAAAACATTGCAAACGAAAGTAGAATTTGAATATTCGTAGATTATATACCATTACACATCCTGTGGTCTATTCCATGATTCCACTTGTCTTTTGATTTGAAACTTTTCATTTTGAAAATTCATAACCTCGTCGAAATTTGCCCCCCTCAAAAATTGAAAACTCTCTCAAAAAGTGCCCCACTTCTCATTTATTTTCCTCTGTACCGTAATATCTTGGGTCACAAAGTCAGATACAGGTTCGGTTTCTGACAAAATGTTGAATTAACTTAGCAAAGAATATTATTAATAAAATTAAGTATTAGTTTCGTTAAATTGTTTATTAAAAAATAATAGTCTATTTACATTAACATTAATATCATTAAATAGTACAATTAAAGTGAAATACATTGTAGCTCCCCCCCCCTCCAACTTTGTCACATTAAACTAAAATGACTTTATTCAAAATAAACTAAAGTGAATATTATTTAAGAAATCGAGATAAAGAATTTTAATAATATAATTTAATTAAAATAACAGTTAGTTTGATTGTTTTTGTGATTATTGATTAAAAGTAGTAACTATCGATTTTTTGCCTTGGTAGCACTGTTTTGGGCCGTTAATATTTGAAGTTTTCCCTCGACGATTCGAAGTAAACAGAGCTGTTTTTAAACCACAACAATGTTGGAATTTGAACTTTTGTAATATTATTAGGGAATGACCGCCAAAATCTTCTACTTAAATTTGTAGTTTTTTAAATTATATTGAACTAAATTTTATCTTAATTGTCATCAGTGTTATATTTTAAAATGAGTGAATTAGGAAGAAGGTCTGCTAGACTTGCCAATGGTAATCAACCAATGAAGCCTTTAGGAGTTTGTAATTCACTCCAATCTTATGATAGGAAGAGTATGTTTTTATCATTTATCACCAAATATTTGTTATTTTGTTAACTGTTTCTTAAATAGTTAAATTGTTCAATAGGTATAGGAAATTGCCTCCAAAAATCTCCCAACTGTGCTAGGAAAACTCTGTTTGAGGGTAATTTCAAAGAAAATGAAGATTATGCCCTTTGTAAGGAAATTTCTTCAAGACGAGAAAATACTGGAAAGTCTCCTGTTGTGGTTCCAAATATAAAAAGTTCAAATGATTCTGTAAGTTTCCCTTTTTTACCCATTTAAACGTCATTTGCTGTACTGTATTTAAAAGTCTAATGTTATATTTACTTTTATCATTACTCCACCTGAAGTAACTGCGTTATTAAAGGTTAAAATACATTTTTATCAAGTTATGTAAGCTGATTACTTTATTTATAAATTTCTATCTTATATTTCACTGTAAAGTTATCATATATTATCTCCCTAAATCATTTCAAGAAACATGGTTTTTGATTTTTTCACAATTATACTCATTATAAAACATTCTAAGTACTTTATGTAGTTTATTGTTAGAAAAAAAAAAAATTAACAATATATTTGTTCATTAAGTAAATGTTACTTTGGATTCTTTACGATTTTGTCAGGATGTAACATTTATAAATTTAAAAGATGAATCTTGAAATTTTATTGACTCCTGGTACTTTAATTTCTTAATTTTAATTTGATTTATTTTTCCTTTTGTTTGATTTTTTTTCTTAAACTTTTAGCATGAAAAGAAAAAGGTTAAACCTCGCCGTAGTATGCTGGGTCTGCGATCGAAAACCCAGTTATCAAGTTATAATAAAGATTCCACTTATACTCTTTCCAAACCATTGCTCGCTTCTTCACCTAATAATGCTGAAAGGTCAGTATTTCTTAGTGCTTGTGTTTAATATTTATTAACTGTAATGATCAGATTATCTGCTTTGATCACTAATGGTGATACTCTTTCAAAAGTGTCGCATCTGGATGGCAGATGAGCCACTATATATGAAATGCCTAAAGTAGCAGTGTGTCTAAAAGTACAATGAGGTGAAATTTTTATATTAAAAAACCGTCAATCGATTAATATTTATTACATGCTGTTTATCATACATAGAAATAAACCCAATTTTGATGTTTCTGATTGATTACTTTTTGGAATTATTAGGTACAATAATTAAGAAGCTAGAAACTCATTTGAAACAAGTGTAGTTTATTTGAAGAATCCACAAAAATTAATGCAATAAAGATTAGTTTAATGATGCAATGAGGGAAAATAATTAATACAATTACCAATATCAACAAAGTTTGTAAATTCCTTGTATTTTTATAAACTTGTGTGAAATAGAAAAGATAATTTTTTTTAATCTCTAATAATAATGGTTCCTAAGATTAAAAAAAGTCAGGATGTCTAGTCAGTGTTTATTGGGTTTACCGACATTTTGACCCAAACATGTGGGTCATCATCATAGCTAGTTGTTAAAAACTCAACATAACTTCAGAAAAAGGATATGGACTAAGGTATGTAAATAATGGAAGAAAAAAAGTTTAGTATGTTTAAGTTCTATTTTTTTCTTCTCTTATCTACATGCTTTTATGTATACTGTTATTCGATGTTATTTTGTATTTAATTTTTAGCCCTTATCACCTCCTGCCCCACATGCATGGGCCGAAATGTCCGCAAACTCAGTAAATTATTATCAACTATATATCCATCTCTAAATAATTGTTTCTAAAATCTTGAACACCTATCAAAAATAAGTATAAAAGTAGTGTTGTCAGACGTATTCTGCTATGTATGGTACTCCATTTAAGATATGATCTTGATCTACCTACAATCGAGAGGTGATCCTCGTGAAGTAGAAACTTTTGGTTTATTTATAGAACAAATTTTATCAGGGTGGCGACTGACCTGGAAAGTCGGGGAATTTTTTTTTTTCATATTAGAAATAAATATTCAGTAGATATCGTTTATAACGACCTTGATGGGGTAAACTTTGTCGTTATAAATGACCATAGTCACTCTATTCATTTATCTTTGTTTGACAATAATGGCACTGAAATCAAACAAGAGTAATGAATAAAATTTAAGCAAAATTGAATTAAAACAGTGTTTTTTTGATAAGAGAAAAATATAATATTATTTACTATTTGTAATATATATATATATATATATATATATATATATATATATATATATATATATATATATATATATATATATATATGGGTCAAGATTTGGCTGGCAAGCATTTGTTCGACCCCTGGTGTTCCTTAAAACAGCATTTATTAAGCAGAAACCTCACAGTTTGTATCATATGGATAATTATTACGTTGTTTATAATAATAAAGTAATTAATTACTTATGAGAAACTGCATTAATATTAAAATTATCTCACTTTATTTTATAATGGGGAAAATGAGAGCTTTATATATCAACTATCAACTTTTACCTCCTCTCAGTTTTTTAAAATAAAATGAAAGCTATAAAAATAGATTATTAAAATATTAGTTTTCTAAAATAAAAAATCCCAATCGATCTTAAGAAATGAATCCTCTAAAACGTTATATTGGTTATTTAAAAGACTGATTTTGGTTTTTTTTTACTCAGATCATTTTGTAGTAAATTTTCTTTTATGTATAATAAATAAATTTAGTTATAAATTATACATTTTTAATATTGTTCCCCAGACATTGGTGATGGAAAACTATCATTAAATAGGAAAATGTCTGGGAATTTTACATAAACTGTCTAGTAGCCATCCTGTTTATGTAATTTAATGATAAAATTGACATTATGTTATGAATGATCTTTAACATTATAAATTATCTCATTTATGTTAACATAATTTTTACAGATTGGGTGGCTATAGGGAGTTAAGGAAATCAATATCTACTCCTCAGTTAACTCCTTTTGACTCAGATGACGTAGATACATCTGCATTTTTTAACAAAGGAATCAGGTTTGTATCTAAATTTATATCGAGTGTGTTTAAATTATATTTTTACATTATTCTAACTTATTAATCAGCAGTGTCCAACTTCATAGTCATTTAATTATAATATTGTTACAAAATCATCACTATGCAAGGAAGTGAAAACAAAAATTAGAGAAAAATACAAAATAAAAGTAATAGAATCTACACTTAGAAGAAATTAGAATCTTATTGATCAAAATCAAAATTGAAATATTCTTACACTTATAGTGTGACGAAATATATCGATTCCAAAGTCACTTGAGTCCCAAAAATCTTCCAGATTTTTCCTCCAGGCTTTATGCATTCCTGCAATACATAACAGCCCAATTAAGGCTTTGATTTCAATTTCATCAGTTTCCATTGTATTAAAAATTTTTACCTGCTCCGTCAATACTCAAGTTCTGGTACAAAAATTGGACGCATTACAGGTCACCCAATTATGGGATTCTAAGACTCCAAGCGTCAGGAGAATACGTAGAGGTAGGTTCGTCTTCCAAGTGATATGGAAACATATCAAATAGACCGTTTGGCAGATCTCTCCTTCGGAATGTTAAGAAGTGAAAAAAATACAATCCAAGAATCGTGCTCTTTGGCACCGTCTCAACGAGAACAGTACTAGGTTAATATTAGTTTACGGTTTGTTGAATCTTAATGGGTAACTGAAGATATATTTTCTTGTAGAACAAGCTAATTACTTGTTTAAAGAATAACATAATCATAAAGTGTCATTTTTCACCATTTGAGTTAGAAGGATCTAATGTGAGAATTCTTGCACAATTACTTAATTTTTATTCTTCTTCATTCTTCCAATCAAATGGTCACGTCTGGCGATAAAACAATCAAATAAATGGTTCACCTGATTTCCTTCCATGTCCTGTTGAGTTTAGTTTTCGGCTCAGGCTAAATCTTCCTTCTGGCCTCAGGAAGGACACAACTTCGAAGAACATGCTCAACTTTTTGTTCTCCTCTACCACACTTATAAATGGGACTATTTCCAATTATAAATTTTTTGTAAAGATGAGCTTATTTTATAAGTTTATATTTAATTTATGTTCCTACATTCTTTTATACAAATTTCTTCTTAATTAACCTTTTAGTCAATGCATAAAATTTTTGTTATCTACAGCCCTAATCCTGATTAATGGAGATTCCACTGTATTCATTGTTTAAAGTTTAATTTTTTTTTTCATGTTAATGTAATTATATTATAGATACTGATTAACTATGGTTTCATTGTAATTTGGCTTTTTATGCTAAACATAACTGCTTTTGATCCTTGGCATTCATAAAATTTCCATTGACAAAATTTATTGTTTTTGTTGAGTTCGAAACCTTAATTTTACAATAAAAAATTGAAAATAAGTTGTTTTTTTTTACATTATTAGTTGAATTAATTAAAATTTATATTTGCAGTGACAGTACATGGAGTGTTTTTAAGAGTGTAAAGAAAAAAAGTGTTTTTGAACCACCTTCAACCCGAGGTTCCCTGCTGCCTGGAAAAGCCAGGTAGAAATCTATCCATATTATTATTGTTGTTTTATTTAAAAAATGTGTTTTTAGAAAGTTGTGTCTACTAATTGAGAGATTCTATGCAAGGATTAGATATGTCAATGTTTCGTCAATTTTTTCATTAAATTTTATTTTATTTTATTTTTTGAAAATTGATAAAAATAATTATTTTCTAGAATATTGTAGAAAAAAAATATATTGACGAGTCAATCAAACTAATGGAATTGACAAAGATATTAAGAAATAAAAAAAAATTAGGGATATAAATATGGAGTATAAACAGAAGTTCAAAATATTGACCTTTAATATTTTTAGAGCATTCACTGACGCATAAATTTTTATTGATTTTAATTATTTACGATTATGAATGCTTATACTTTTTCTATTTTTATAGGAATCTCGTTGCTGAGAGTGATTCAGAATTGAAGAATTCTAACTCAGGAACGTCCAGTTATTACGAATCAACCAAAAACAGGTAAATAATGGTAATAATTACTGGTATATGTTTGCACAGGGTGGCGACCGACCTGGAAAATAGGAAAAGTCGGGGAATTTTCAAAACAGAAAAATTGTTGAAGTCAGGGAATTTTTTAGTATGCAAATATTTGTTTCTGATTGGAAATAAATAAACAGTGGATATCGTTTATAATGAGATGAATGACCTTGAAGGGGTAAGCTTTGACGTTATAAACGACCACAGGCGCTATATTCATCCACCTTTGACTGTCAATAATGGCACTGGTCATTATATTGAAATCAAAGAAGAATAATGAATACAGATTAAGCAAAATGTACATAGAACAGTGTTTTTTTTTAAAAGAAAAACACCAATTCTATTTACTATTTGTAATATATACATCTTTGAGCAGATTTTTTTTTTATAAAGTAATGAACTTCTCAACGGTAATGCTGTCTATTGATAAATGTCTATTAGAACATTTTTCGATCTTAGAATATTAAAATCTCCCGTAGCTCACTTTATCTAATAATAGAGAAAATCAGAGCTATACTTTATATGTCAAGTATCAACTTTTATCTACTCTCAATTTTTTAAAATAAAATAAATTACTAAAAGCTTAGTTTTCTAAAATAAAAAATCCTAATCAAGCTTTAAATATGCTTCCTCTAAAAAATTATATTGGTTATTTAAAAGACTGATTTTTATTTTGTTTTACTGAAGTCATATTGTAGTCAATTTTCTTTTATTTATAATAAACAAATTTAGTTATAAATTATACATATAGGAAAACTATCATTAAATAGGTTGTAATAACATCCAGTAGTAATAATACGTGTGATGAATGCAATGCAATCAGAAAATAAAGAATAGACTCACTCTATCCAGTGGTCTTAAGACTAAGGAGCATCTATAAATCAATCCAACACTTAGCATTATTATACTATTTATAAGCACAATGTTTTCAGAAGGCATTTTTTTACTTTCACTTACCTGTATATGAAATATATAATTAGGAGAATTATTTCAACTGACTGAAAAATTTTGATTAAGTTGTCAACAACATTACAATTCTTAGGATTCTTTGAGGCTAATAACCATGTCTCACAAAATGGTCTATATGTATGTGAACAGCCAAGCTCAGAAATGAATAGTTTCGCAAAACTCGAATCAATGAATGAATGAAAATAATTTTATTATTCTGGGGCTGAGTCCCTTTAGAACAAGTTACAAATACAGAAATATATTAATATTCTGATGTGTCCATAAAATACAATTAAATATTTACAGGATGATTAGGAATACAATAAAATTAAAAGATAATAAAAAGATATAAAAACGTGTATAAATATAAAATAAATAAAGATCTGGTGGGACGGACGGGATTGAAAGGAGCGTTTGAATTGTAAGATCTGTAGAATATAGGCGGGTCGCCGAGTTCTAATGGCCTGGTATAGGAAGGTAGCAAGGGAATACATATTGACGGCGGTAGGACGGATAGAGCCACTTCAACTCGGTGTAAAACTGAGTAATATGCATATCCCTTGAGATCCCGAAGGTAATGATGTATATGCTCGGTTTGTCAAAATCGGCTGACTGGAAGTTTCTCTTCATATCATCGATTTTATATATTTTTACAATTATATGATTTTGTAAAACTCATGACTAATGATTTTGATTGAATTCACTATGCCAATGTACAATTAATTGTTTTTTAATATAAATAAGGTATTTCCCTTATTGAAATTGTTTGACATGACTTAAACAGCTGGTTTTCAAAATGGCTTCCTTTAAAGTACCTATAATATAGTTTATGTGAAATAATTAACTGTCTCTCATGGTTAGTAATAGTAAGAAATGGTTAAAGATGAACTATGAAAGAATTTGATAACTGACACTAAAAGAAGAAACATTTTCTCAGCTAGAAAATAACTTTGTATAAGTGTATGTATATATATAATCTATCGTTGACAAGTTAAAGATCAAAAAGAAATTAATATTTAACATATAAAGTTGTATGATATAGTTGAGAGTGACAATAAAATAATGAATAAGTAATATTATTTAACAGGAACTAAGTAAAATTTTTAACATAATGAAAACTTTTACAATTATTTTAAAGTTCCATAAAACAGAAATATATCAAATCTTCATTCGGGAATTGTTTAAAAATTATTTTATCTTACTTTTACGAGAGAAGTGAATGCCGTTCAAAATATTTCAAGCTGTGTTTACAGGTTGATGAAATATATGGTAATACGTTTAGCTACAATAATAGATTGAAAGTTGTATGATGCACGCCGCACAACATTTTTTACTAAATGATGATGAGATCTAAGTTTATTATTTGATGATTTGAAAACAAATAAAATATAAACTTCATAGAAACAGAGCTGTTAGTAATATAATATTTATTACTCCTTTATTTTATTATTATTTTTTTTTAATTTTATTGATATATTTTCCTACAGAATGCCTAGAAAGACGTTGACAGCATCTGTTGATCAAGAAGTAAAATTGAAATGGTTGGCGCAGAAATTTCAAATGGATGGAAGCAATCCACACAGTGCTGAAAAATACACCAAAAACATGAATTCGGACGATGAATATTATAGGTAAATCATTAATTACTATTATTGGTTTTAAATAAAGCAACTTAATTCAGTTATGTACAAATAGACTTTAAGATCAAAGTGGAATTAAATTATATTTTTTATCATAAATTATTGTGATGGCATAGAGTAAAGGGCTTTTTCTTAGCTTACGAACCCAGTTTAAATCCTCCTAAGTTAAGATATTCTAAATTAACTCTTTATAGAGAATTAATAAATAGCCTTTAATCATGATTTAACTAACTCAGTGCCAAAATATCTATCTGTCATGTCAGCTCACATGACTTTCCTTACCAAAATTTTGGCTCCACAGACAGTTTAATTATCTTCCAAATTAATGTTTGAAATGTAAAGTTTTTGACACAAAGAATTCCATGAGAAATAAACAGAATACTTGGAAGAATTTTTTTAAAAACACAGATACAGAGTGCGTTACACTTCATCTTTGTTAATACTAGTCTGATTTAGACTTCTGTTTATTTTCTTTATGGATGATTACTAAAAAGTAATTCATAAACTAATATTCTGTAAGTTATGGGATTATATATATGTTCATAGTAATTTATTTTATTGTTATCTATATATAAAAATAAACCCTTGTTGCAGTGAAAATAGTGAAGTCGCAGATAATTCAGAAGATTATGATGAGGACAAGTCGAACATCACTTTAACCGAATGTTTAAGCCCTATTGAAAAAATGAATGATACAGATGAAAATGACTTATCTTCTGCTAACAGTACAGATTCTTACATTCAAAATGAAACTACCATTTTGAATTCCGGTAAGAATAATTTAGAAAAAATTGAAGAAGAGAACGGTGAGCGGGAACATAAAGAAGATAGCAGCATTGATGAAAATCTTGACGATTGCGATGAAGGTGACCGTATTGACATTCACAGAATCATCAATCTTTTCGACGATTTGAAAAGTGAAAAAGAGGAGATGGATTCTAAATGGTCTGCTTTTATAGAACAGAGGGAAGCTTTCGAAAAAAAATGGAATGATTTTAATTTTTTATTTAGAGCTTACGAAAGAAATGTAACTTCGTCCCAGAAAAAATTGACGACCTCTAATTCTGTTCAAGGGAAGTCGAAGAAGGTCGTAAGTACAAAATTAAGGCCTAGTTTTGTAAATCCTGCCAACATATGCTTAAAGCTTCCCAAAGCACAGTCTAATTCAAGCTCTTCTAATAGATATAACGAAAAGAAATCTAATTCGGGGAATTGTAAGACCCCACTTAGCAATGATAAATTATTGAGAAGGTTCAGGAAGTCTACTTGTTACACGCCTAATTCTTTGTCTATAATGGTCGATGATCAGGCAAAAGACATATTCGGCAGTTAATATCAAAATTAAAAAAGGGGGGAGGATTTTTTTTATATTAACTTTATTGGTTTGATTTCTATATTTAATATGAAATTTTTAAGTATATAATTTTAGACTGTTTTGACTTAGATGAAGATCTCTTTGTTTGTAAATGGTTATTTATTAGTATATGGATATTGACATTCCAAACTTGGTGGAATGTTTTGTTAAATTAATTGCATAGCATTTTCCATATATCGTTTAATAAAAACATTTCTTGTTGAAAAAAAAAAAATGTACTGATGGCATGTTTTGTTATTAGGTGCACTTTGCACTTTAAATATAATTTGGAATGCTAAAAAAAAAATTATTTCTCATAATCTGTTATCAGTTCCAGTATTGTCTGTTGTCAAGTAAATTGTTATATCAAAGTACAAATAATATTTATTGCAGATATGTATCAAAAATAAAGTCTGTACAAAGTATAAATAAAGTTTTATTCCTGGTTTATATTTCTTTAATAGTAATTAACTAATTAGTGTACAGTCCTTAGTTTACTAGGCATCCGAGATAATACTTTTTGGTAGCGACTTGTATATTGGCATTATTATAGAGCTTATGTGGCTTGTTGTTTTCTTATTTGTCAATGATCATTTATTCTTTTGTGGCTATTTATTTTTCTTTGGACTTTCTTCTTCCAAATTTTCAGCTACCTCTCACTTTCCTGCGTCTAAGTGCACGTATGTTTTCACTCCCATAGGTAACGATTAGCCTAATAATGATTTTATAAACTGTTACTTTGGCATCCCATGCCATTCTGGCTTTTGTTTTGGTCTGTCACAACCACTCCCAGGTATTTAAATTCTTTCTCCATTGGTATACGGTGCTGATAGATTTGTAAATTATTCCTTTAGGACTCCATGTATAGGCTATTTCCTTCATTTATCCTCAGACCAAGCTGCTCGGCTGTCCTTTCGAATTTCTCGGTCAATCCTGCCAGGGCCGACAATGAGCTAATGCTTCAATATTAATGGAGGAAGGAAATAGTCCGGGGTGGCGGTCATAAATAGACTAAAGTAGTGGCAAAACTATTTCATTTTGACCCAAATTTACAGGTTTTCTTCAGGGAAGTGTGTTCAGCAAGGAGTTTTAGTTACAACTCAGTTTTTTTAATTGAATTGAATGATTGGTGAGCCAATCATGAGTATTTCAAAATTAGCCAATTTTGAAAATACATAGTTCAAATTCAAACACAAAAAAAAAATTAATGAAAGCTTCTAAAATTATAGGACTGTTTTGAACAATAATTATTAACAAATTAAATAGACAGTATACTAATATCCTACCTCTAAAGATTTTGTTATTCATTAAAGCTAAAATATGAGAAGTAGGTAGGGTTTGTGAAAACATAAAAGTCCCATTACTACTAATAACTTTTCCATTTTTATTTCAATCAATTAACGTAACAATAACAATAAATAAAACAGGCAAAAAAAAATTTATTGAGATAAAAAACATATATTTTGAAAGAAAGAAGTATATTTTATTCTGGGTCATAATAATTATATAATCCTCTAAGAATAATTTAATTTTTTTTAAATTATAATCCTATAATTAAGATAACAGAGCAGAAATTATCATATTAATTTGTAGATAAATATATGAGTGTGTTCACATATTAGCTATATACAGGGTTGAGACCGACCTGGAAAAATGGGAAAAGTCGGGGAATTTTTTTGGTACGTAAATCTTTTTTTTCAAATTGGAAATAAATATATCGTTTATAATGAACTTAAAGGTGTATACTTCGTTTTTGAACAATCACGGTTGCTAAATTCATCCACCTTTGACTATCAGCAATGGCACTGGTCATTATCTTAAAATCAAACAAGGGTAATAAATAAAATTTAAGTAAAATGGAATTGAAACAGTGCCTTTTGAAAAGAAAAACATATCAATACTATTTACTATTTGTAATATGGCAGGCAAGCACTCATTCGTTCGAACCATGGTGCTCTCTAAAAGAGCATTTACTAACCAGAATTGTCATAATATTATGGATAGTTATTGCGCTGTTTATATTAATAAGGAATTAAATTACTTATAAGAAACTACATTAATATTAGAATCCCACATAGCTCACTTAATTTTATAATAGAGAAAATCAGAAATCTATGTAACAAGTATCAACTTTTTTTATTATAATGAAATAAAAGCTATAAAAATAAATTAATTAGAGTTTAGTTCTCCAAAATAAAAATTCTAATCAAGCTTAAAAAATGCTTTCTCTAAAACATTATGTTTGTTATTTAAAAGACTGATTTTTATTTTTTTTATTCAAGTCATTTTGTAGAATTTTCTTTCGTGTATAATAAATAAGGTTAGTTATAAATTATACATTTTTAATATTTGTGTCCACAGACAGGGAAAACTATCATTAATAAGAAATGCCAGGGAAATTTTACTTTAACTGTCTGGTAGCCACCCTGTATACAGATAGTTTAAAAGTACCTGTAACATAATACGAAAATTTTATTCTTACATAAATTCAGGTTGATTACTGAGGAGGTAAAAGAATAAATTTTGTTTAAATGGGATTAAGGAAGAGGATTTGGGTATGGAAGTAAGTAAGGAATTCTAAAAAAAGAAGATAGCATGCATGAAAAAGGATTTTTTAAAGAAAACAGCTCAGCTGTATGAGAATAAATAGGTTCGTGGGCTGGGATATCATGTTAAACAAATGGACAGAAGAGCAGGGAGAAAATCAATGAAGATGGTAAGATGGCTTTTTGCTATATGGAAATGTTTTAACATAATTAAAATTTTAAATATTTTTTTTTTTGTTCTTCCCAACCTCGCATTTTAGGCTATACGGGGTTTTCCCAGGCTGGGAATTTAAAATCCCTTAGGACCGGGAAGCGATCTCGTACTCTTTAATCTTTCATAACTTCGGTTAGCCTGCTGACAGCTGACACTAGCCATAGACCCTCTGGTAGGTAGTGGAATCATCCAATGATAGCTAGTCCTCTTGGATGAAGAAGTGAAGGTGTATTTTAAGTGGCTCCCCGTGCTGTAGGCGGGAAATGCCTCTTCGATAGGCCTGGTAGACTAGAGCCTGCCAACTCTCTACATAACAGTCAGAAGGCAATCTCTCCACCTGACTTGGTGGGAGTGGGCTAATAATCCACTCCCCTTAAATACTTATCATTATGAAACCTCTACAAGCAGAAATAGTCAGATTGTCATTACGGAATAAAACCAGGAAACATTTGAAGGACTAACGAATCGTCTATGGGACATTTTATCTTTATATAGACTCCTGCGGGCCCTCCTCAAGCAAATTTGCAAATATTCCAGGAAGTTCGCTGGCTTGGAAGTGGCATCCTTGAAAAGAGGTACCATAAATTGACAAAAAATGTCAAAACTGGAGTGCTGCTGCAGCTGATCGTATTGATTGGCGAAAGCTTTTGGAGGAGGCCCAGTCCCGGTCACGGGATGTAGCGCTATTTATATATGTATGTATAACTTCGGTTATCTGGTTGCCGGACAACTGGCCCTCTCTTCCCTCCCCCCTCTCCCTCTCACATAATTAAAATCTACTTAATCAAGGACCCTTTTCTTATATAACATGATAAAACTAAATAATTATACAATCTTCTTTATGATGGACTTTCCTTTTTATGGCGGTTCATTATATGTCTTTTTAAATTACCCAGTTGCACTGTTTTATAATCACAATGTGGACATTGATGACGATTCTCAGTTTCATGACGACCCATATGTAATTTTAAATTATAAAAAGTTACTGTTTTGTAGTCACATTGAGTACATTGATGAGGTTTCTCACTTGTATGAGCGGACATAATATGAATTTTCAAACAACGAATTTCTACCGCTTTATAGTCACAGTGAGGACATTGATGAGGCTTTTCGCCTGTGTGGCGGGCCATTAAATGTCTTTTCAAATGATCTGAATTTATTGTTTTATAATCGCAATGAGGACAGAGGTAAGGGTTGTCAGCTCGATGTAGGGCCCTGATGTGAGATCTTAATTTACGAAGCGTTACAGATCTGAAATCACAATGAGGACATTGATGAGGCTTCTCCTCGGTGTGAAGGGTCATTATATGTCTTTTTATATGAGTGGAATTGACTGATTTATAATCGCAATGAGGACAGTGATGAGGCTTTTCTCCTGTGTGAAGGGACATGATGTGTTTTTTTAAATTACTAAATTGAACAGTTTTATATTCACAGTGAGGACATTGGTGAGGCTTCTCCCCTGTATGACGGGCCATCAGGTGCCTTTTAATGTGTTCAGAATTGACAGTTCTATAATAACAATAAGGGCATTGGTAAGGTTTCAGGTCTGCATGGCGCCCCATGATATGTATTTTCATATTTCCAGTATATAGCGATTTATAATCACAATGGGGGCATTGAAGGAACTTGTCATCTGTTTGGTGAGCGATCTCACTAATCTTCAAACTAGCTCCCGAGTGGTACTCATTTATTGCTGCCTCATCGATGGAAACTTTGACACCTATAAACAAAAAAAAAATGGATAGTAAGAAATTTAATTGATGGTTGACTGTAGTGTATAATTGAAGGGAAGGGTGATCAGTCAAAATAAATAATTATATTTATTTTCACATTCGCCGAAGTTCATGCCTTCATCAGGGCTAAGAAAAGAACCAGATAACAATAGGTATGAGAAACTATAAACATTGAATGATAAAGAATAAAGGTATAGACTAAAAAATGTAGGTAAAAAAAACTTAAAGTAGGTAGTGATTTTATGTATTATTATTTAAATCTTAATTTTCTTCTTCTTTTTTTCACTCTATTTTCCATATCTCCATTTTACATATATTGATACATTTGCTCATTCATCTTTTTTACATTATTTTAACTTTTTATTCTCTTTTAGGTAGTCAGTATTTTTGATAGATTTTAATTTTCTATTTATATCTATTATTTCCTTATGTAACTTCATATTCCTTTTCTCTGTTTTACATTTTATTCCAAGATTACCATTTTTCATTTCTTATTTTAGCTTATTTTGATTATGTTTATTGCACTTTGTTGCTGTTATTATTATTTATTTCTTAGTTCTCTGTTACAGTTATTATTCCACCTACTTTATTTTACTTTAATGTTCACTCTATCTACTTTGTTTTACTTTAAGTTTTTTCTACCTACATTTTTTAGTCTATACATTTCACCTTTTTTTGGTTGAATTCTTTATTATTCAATGTTTATAGTTTCTCATACCTATTGTTCTTGTACCTCTGGTTCTTTTCTTAGCCTTGATGAAGGCCTAAACGTCATCGAATGTGAAAATAAATATAATTTATTTTTACTATTTTTATTTTGACTGATCATCCCAACTATAATAAACTTTTAAAACTGTTGTTACTTAGTGAATAACTGTTTACCAAATACATTGTATTTTTAATTTTTTAAAATTTAAATGGTTAATTAAATTCT